GTTCCTCTTGTTCCTCTTGTTCCTCTTGTTCCTCTTGTTCCTCTTGTCGTTGTCGTTGTCGTTGTGGTTGTGGGTGTGGTTGTGGTTGTGGTTGTGGTTGTGGTTGTTGTGGTTGTTGTTTTTGTTGTTGTTGTTGTCGTTGTCGTCGTTGTCGTCGTTGTCGTCGTTGTCGTCGTTGTCGTTGTTGTTGTCGTTGTTGTTGTGGTTGTCGCTGTTGCCGTCGTTGCCGTCGTTGCCGTCGTCGTCGTCGTCGTCGTCGTCTTGTTGTTGTTGTTGTCGTCGTCGTCGTCGTCGTTGTTGTTGTTGTTGCTGTTGGTGTTTTTTGTGTTGTTTTGTGTTGTTGTGGTTTGTTGTTCTTTGTCTTTGTTGTTTTTGTTGTTTTTGTTGTTTTTGTTTGTCGTTGTTTGTGGTTGTTTGTTGTGGTTTGTTGTTCTTTGTTGCTTTTGTTGTTCTTTGTTGTTTTTGTTGTTGTTTGTTGTTCTTTGTTGTTGTTTGTTGTTCTTTGTTGTTGTTTGTTGTCGTTTGTTGTCGTTTGTTGTCGTTTGTTGTCCTTTGTTGTCGTTTGTTGTCGTTTGTTGTCGTTTGTTGTCCTTTGTTGTCCTTTGTTGTCGTTTGTTGTCGTTTGTTGTTGTTTGTTGTTGTTGTTGTTGTTGTTTGTTGTTGTTGTTGTTGTTTGGTTGGTTTGTTGGTTTGTTGGTTTGTTGGTTTGTTGGTTTGTTGGTTTGTTTGTTTGTTGGTTGGCTTGTTTGTTTGTTTGTTTGTTTGGTTGTTGTTGTTGTTGTTGTTGTTGGTATTTTTTTTGGTGTTTTTTGGTGTTGAGTGTTGGGGTTCTTCGTATTATTAGCCAGCTCCCTTAACAACCACTCAATGATGCTTGGGCGTTTCCAAGTCCATTCTTGGTCAGGTCTTTGCATCAAGGTTTATTGATCGATGTCGGCGCACATTATGGTCAAAGTAGCGCCGCAATCCTCAAGGTCTTGGGGGAGGCGAGCGGAAGATACCCAGGGCCTAAAATCTGCAAACGGCGAGGATTTTCCCTGTTGGTGGCGGCTTATGCAATTGAAATTTGATTCGTTTCTTCCAACCACAACCTGTTGATGTGCTTTTGCTGCCCTTGCGTTTCCTGTTATGAAGATTAGATTTTGCCATTCCGCTTCCACTGCTCGCAATGATCTTCCAGGTGGTTTCACCGGATTCGTTTCTTTCCCCCTGAGATGTTCAAACACAGTTGACGTGTGGCTCAGCCACGATTTTCCCACGCCAGGCCAGTAGCTACGATTTGGAATGCCAGCCACAGGTGCAACTGGCGCCATCGGTAATTTTTTTTCAGGTTTGTTCCTGGATGGTTTCAGTTTGCTCTTGAACTAACGAACTTTGTTGTCGGGCAGGATTCTCTGCGGATGATGCTGTTTGAGCCCAACCCTCGAAACTGCAAAGTTTTGAGGAAACAGGTGCAGAAGTGGCAGCGCCCAGGCCCCGGGCTTGGAGATGAGAAGCAACCTGTGCTTAGCAGCCATTTTTTCTCTGTGAAGCGATAGATGTCCCTCCAAGTATGTTGTTATAACTCGAACTAGCTGCTCAAGAGGCCTTAAAAGCAACAATTCTTGACGCTCTGTCGTAACGTGCCGGTTTGGCATGAAACCTTTTGTTTCAAGTCTCTTCCGAGAACATAGACAAGTAGCAAATAGATGTCAGGCACTGAAACATGCGAAAGGTGTGAAGAGTTGGAAAGTGGCAGTAGCCTTTGTGCAGAAGTCAGCGAACACGGATTCTTTGTACCTTTATCAAGTTGCCATGTATATAAATGGAAGAGATATGAAAACAGAAGGCAAAGCGAAAGAACAAGTATATACCACGGTTAAGAGAGGAACTTGAAAAGGGCGAACATCAGAAAGCACGGTGTGAAGGCCTCAAGAAAGAAATTGCCAAGTTGAGGCGGAAAGATATGTCGAGGCTTTTCAATCCACCCTTAAAAGATCCTAGAAAGTCTCAGACCGCTTCCGCTAGCACGGCGCATGCTTGGCAAATGTCTGTGATGTGGGGTCATTGATAAGCGAGCATTAAGCTGTTGGGCCGAGAACCAGGACCCGGCCCTTTCCCTTGCAAGCCTAGACAAATCCACCCCAATTATTTGGATGGAATCGGTTTTGATTCATGCGTCTTTAGCGTGTATTGTATCTAACCTCCACATGCCGTGGAAAAAACGAGGATGTCGCAGCCGTCGCCCCTGTCAGGCTTGGGCCTAATTATGGTTGAGGCCGCGGTGTCAAACCGTTTGGGGCGGCAGATTCTGCATGGCGTCACCCAAGGGGGCTCGCTGTCACGCAAGGTGCATCCAACTTGGGGAGCCGTGGGAGTGTTGGTGCAAGACTGGGGGGGAAAAGGACCGGCCATGTTTTCATACTTCAAATCGGTTGTTTTGACTGATCCAGACTTGATCCATACTTGGATTTAGGAGACAACATGTTGTAGCCTGTGCAGTTTTTTCCCGCGATTCTTCGGAAGTTTGATACTTTTCTGTTTTGTGGCTCTAAGCGTAGGATGTTTTCCACCTCATGTGGAATGAGGATCCCAATTGACTGACCAGCCAGCGCAAAGACCACCTTACTGGGATCACCGAACATTTGCAAATGAATCAAGAATCTTACATAGACCATCATAGACAGTGTGATAGTTTGTATATATATATACACATACACAGTATATATATATAATATATATATATACGTATATAATATGTAGATTAAAATTGCTAAATCCTGCGTGCATTTTTCGGTTTCTTTCATATCACGAGCTCATTAAGGTTTTTATAGTGGTTATGATCCGTCGCAAACCAAACGGAAGTGGCGTCTGTGGCCAGGTGAGCCTTTTGCGACGGCATCCCAATGCCACGCTTCAAACGGAAGTGGATGTGGTGACGCTGGATTGGTATTTGCAATGGGAAGACTTCGAGGTGACCACAAATGGAGATGGCATGTGAAAATCTAGATTTGAATCCCAATTGGTTGCTACTGAGGAGGTGCTCGTGCAATTGAAAGGACTGCATTCTTTAAGATATTTCTTGTTCTCTGCCCAATTTGTGAAAGATAAAAGTTGTTCTCCAGTCAGCACAGGCGAGAAATTATAGGCCGATCAGCAGCTTATCGCAGGGCGAGATTTTCCTGTTGAAGATCGATGCTGAAGGCTTTGACCCTTTGGTGCTCAGAGGAGCCAAAGAATTGCTGCGGAAGCACCGGGTCAGGCAGGGTGCGTTTACGGCAAACCTTTAGGGATTGACTCTTGAAATGTCGGGTGAGATTCCTGTGCTGCGGAAAAGAGGGAAGACTTGAGCAGATGTTCTCAAGTATCTTTGGCAGCGTGCATGCTGTTTTGATGATGATAAAGATGCAATTGATGGTGCTGCTGCTACTGCTGCTGCTGCTGCTGGTGGTAGTGGTGATGATGATGATTAAGATGTCGACGATGATGCTAATGATAATGATGTTGTTTACACTGCAGAAGGAGCAGATGATGATGATGATGATGATGAGGATGATGATGATGATGAGGATGATGAGGATGATGATGATGATGATGATGGTGATGATGGTGATGATGATGATGATGGTGATGATGGTGATGATGACGATGACGATGACGATGATGCTTCTGACAACGACGACGACGATGATGACGACGATGAAGGTGATGATGATAGCGATGATGATGATGACGACGACGACGACGACGACGACGACGACGACGACGACAACAACGACGACAACGACGACGACGACAACAACGACGATGATCAGGTTGTTGATGCTGATGCAGCAGATCATTCTGATAACTTGACCGTGAGGTATTTGATCTTCGAAGTTGACAGAGTTTGGGCATCCGCGGGCCACGGAATACGACTCGACCAGGTGGGAGTGTCGCAGTGTGACGACAATTGTGATGACAATGTCTGCCACTTGGATGATCACGCCCCAGGAATCTGAATTCGTTAGTGACCTACTGACTACTGACCATGATTGGGGACACCTTGGTACGCACAGTTGCCATCTACCAACTGCAAAATTTAACCCAGCAGGCACCAGAGTCTGTCATTGTCTACCCGCATTATGCAACCCCTGCTTTATCAGTACTGGGGGGGGGAGTATTCTTGAGACTATTTTTTCAGTTGTCATACGTTGTTATTGGATTTTTTGGGTACTTTCAACTGTACAGATTCAAATGATTTTGGATTCATCTGACTGATATTGATACCTGCTCTGCTTCAGTTCAACAAATCCGATCATCTTTGGTCAAATTCGCTTAGATGTCCGCCACAGACGGTCAAAGAGCTGTACCAACTGGGTTACCTTTGCTTCGTGCTCCATCCCAAGGCGCTTTTGACTTTCACGGCGATGCAGTTTACCCCAATTTCAACACGTTAGAGAATCTAGAAAACATGGGAAAACATGCACAATATGGGGTTGTCTCAAGATTGGGAACGCTAAAAAGTCCAACGGCTTCTCCTCATTTTTTCTGCTAATCAATCATACCATAATATAATACTCAACTAGGGTTTGTTCCGTTGTTTTCTGGATGATCACTATAGAAAAGGACAGTTTGGATTCACACCCATGTCTCAACCGGAGTGGTTCCCTGCTTTTCAGGAACCCAAAGATTCCATCATGGCAGTTAAGTCCCCTGCCAGGCCTTAGTTCCCATCTACGCTTTCTGGTGGCATCCCAGTTTCAACGAGAATACCTGGACAAACGCGACTTGCTGCAAGCAGTTCGTGGTGGTTTCTCCAAGGGCAAATGAGCAGCTGAAGGGTTGGAACATGGACAGCACAAATCGTTTTGGCAATGCATGAAGGAAAGGCATCTTTTTGTGCTGATGGGTAGTTGTCGTTTGTGTCGCAGTTGCTTGTGCTTGTGCACAGTTGACGTTTTGTATCTTTGGCCTGAGAATTTTAAAGCAGACGGTTCCCCTGGGTTTCCTGAGTATTCTCCCCTTGTGATTTCTCAAAGTGTTTTGAATTCTGATAAGCTGCAATAGCATATCCATATACAATGTGTGAATGTTTCAGATGCTGTGCCCTTCTACTTCGTGTTCTTTTGCCCTTTCAGCCACCAGGTGTTTTGCGCTTGTGAATTTGACCCAGAACTCTTTGCCATCTATCTCTCCTATACGGACCCTGCGCAACGTCCTGCAGTTTTGTATGCTGCCGTGGAGTTGCAGCAAAGCAGCTTACCTCCGGCAAAGCCCTGGCGAAGAGTTGCAGAGCAGTTTCACCATGGATTGGGTGAGATGGGTGAGGGACTTGCGGAAAAAACCATTCAAAAAACGATATAAAGGGTCTATTCATGTCTATTCTGAACAACTTTTTCAGGTCTCATGATTGGAGGAGAGACGTGACGCTTCCAAACTCGAGAATCATCAACAAAACCATGACGTCAGGAAAGATGCAGGAAGGGTTGTAAAAGCAAGAACAATATCAAAAAACGAGCGGGAAGGAATCCATGACATGATTATAAATGCTTGCTCATTTTCTGAAGTGTGCTGAAATTATGGTTTGTGCTATGTCTATGTCTTGGCTAGGGGTGAACTCATCAGCAAAGATACAGTCTCGAACATAGCTCCTGCCAGGTATCTGTCTCAAGGACCCGTGGGGCCCGCAGTGTCTTGTGGTTTGAAGCTATGTTGGAAGTTCAGCCCAGGACCCATATGGACCCATGAGCTGCGGCTCATTTTAGAATCAAGATCTGGTTGCTGGATTTATCTGGATTCCTTTTCGTTTTGTTTCCATCCCGGGTGGCTGACCAGTCACAGTTGCCAGGAGATGTGAGGGTCCTTCGTTGTCAGTTCAGGTGCTTCAATCGTGGATTGGTGCCTTGATCAAGTTTCACCATGCTGTTGATGTCGTTGCAGGTTGCTGAACCCGGATCACCAAGCCTAGAAAAAGCAGGGGCAATGCCTTTTGAAGACAAGGCAGGCTTCTTTGCAAGGATGTGATGGGTGAAGTATGGTAACGTCAAGATAGAGAAAGAAACCTGTTTTATGCGGCAGAGGATACTAACACATTCAGGGAGCTTTGTTGTGAGATGTCCCTTGCCATTCAAGGATTTTGTAAATGCGGTCTTGGATTCAGGCAAGCAAAGGCGGAGATGAAGAGACAGTTACGGTCTTTGCAAATGTTTGGGATTCAGAGTTTCACGTCTTTCTTACACCCTTGCCGCGGCAGTTGGAGCAGCTGGAGCACTTCTGTTTGGACCTCCGGGAAACTTTGGAGGACTGGCTCGTGCTTGTGTGAGAAGGTGACGATCTGATTGTAAAGGGGGTACAACAGCATCATATTATATGATAGGAACAGCAGATAAATAATTAAATGGATCTTGATCAAGTTGATATGACTTGGTGGTGACCCATTTCGCAGATCGGTGGGCTTAGCAGTGGGTGCTTCACCCAGGATATTGTGACTGCTATGTATAGTATAGGGGATCTATGGATGTTATCCAGAAGACAGAAACACGCGTAATGCACTGTAAATGACAGTATATGTGATTGTATATATATATAATATAAATATAATATATATATAGATGTATATATATATAGATATTTGGAAGGAAGTTTAGAAGTCAAACTTCCGACAATATGGACAGATGGAAAGGCAGAGGTGGGAAAAATCAGAGAAGAGAAGAGAAGAGAAAGAGTCAGAAGAAAGAAGATGTGCGTGAAAAGCGAGAAAAGTCACGAAACACTGTGTTTTTCCAATGTTTTGTGGCTCCGGAGGGTCGAAAACGAGGCTCGCTAAAGCGGCGGGTGCGGGGACATCTGGGCAGATGAGAAATGACAAATTGCGGCCGTTGTGGCGCGAAGCTCATTTCCAAGTCAAACTGTACAAAACACCTCAGCTCCGGACCGCTTTTGGAAGTTGAGATGTCGAAAAAGCGCGCGCCGTTGCGGCGCGAAGCACATGTGGAAGCCAAAACGTACAAAGCACACTAGCTCCGGACCACTTTTGGAAGTTGAGACATCGAAAAAGTGCACGACGTTGTGGCGCGAAGCACATTTGGAAGTCAAAGCGTAAATGAAAAAAATGTGGTTTTGAGTGGCAGGCGCAAGGGATTCGGCACCTCGGAGATTGCCTGAGAGGGGTTGCATTTTGGAGCGTCAGATCTTCAGGTCTGCTAAGAAGATTTTGCATAACGTGTGCGGCACTTCGTGCCTTGTATGACCTGGCATCACTGTTCCGTGGATGGCGCAACACTGTAGATAGCTGGAAATGGACTGGAAAAGTGCAAAAGGCATTGGTACGACGCTGCACTCAACTTTCCGTTTTTGAAGGATGCCTGGCAGAACTGCTTGGTTTTTGATGTTGTCAACTTGGAAAATTGAGGCAGTCTCGCAGAATTGCTTCGTTTTTGCCGTTGTCAAGTTCAAAAATTGAGGAAGTCGCGCACAATCGCTTCGTTTTCAAGCTGGCCGATAGATAGACAGACAGATAGATAGACAAGTGCGCCTATACTACGCTACAGCAACAGCAAGTAGAACAACTACTATAACTACAACTATCTACAGCTACAACTACACTACAGCTACAACTACAACTACAATTTCAACTACATGTCAACTACGACAACTACCACCACACTACAACTACAGCTACAAGTACAATTACATACAACTTCCACTGCACTTCAAGTACAGCTACAGATGCAACTACAACTACAATTACCATTTTACAGCACAACAGTAACAACGACAACGATAACAAGTACAACTACAACTGCAACTACAACAACTACCACATCTACAGCACCTAGTGCAATTACAATACAGCTGCAGCTGCAACAACAAATGCAACTACAACTTCAATCACGCTAGATTAGAACTACACGGGTTGGAACTATTGCAGCCACGACTACCACCACAACTACACTACAACTACAGCTACCACTACACTACACTAGACTAGAGCTACAACTGCACCGGCAACTAACACTAGACCTCGGCCACAACTCCACCACTACCAAAAACTTTCAAGTACAACTAGAACTTCAACTTTAACTACGCTACAAGCAACAATTACCACTACACGACACTTCAAGTACAAGTACAGCTACCAGTAGTACCGCACAAGGCGGTGGCGGAAGTTTCGAAAAACCGGAAACCTAAAGGGGGAGGTTGTTTGTTGTGATGCATGGATGGCACAGCAAATCCACTGATGGACCGACAGGTGGTTGGAGCGTCGGGCTATCCATCTATCTATCTATCTATCTGTCCACCGATCTGTCGATCTATCGATCTGTCGATCGATTCATCTGCCTATCGAACCAGCTATCTATCTATCTATCTAATCTAATCTAATCTAATCTAATCTGACCTAATCTAATCTAATCGAATCTATCTATCTGTCTATCTATCTAAGTCCCGGGCCTGCCTAAGAGTTCGTGCTGAAGTGACTCAATCACATGTCCGTGGCATTCACTGATGCTTGGAACTTGCTTGGAAGAAGACCCTTGGCGTACAACTCGTTGTGATGTGCATCCAAGAAAATTTGGAACATGCAAACCGCTCGGCAGGAAAAACACAACATGCATACACACATGTCGCGTACACATACAGACAAAAACGTCAACAAATCAGAAATCAATAAATCAAAAAACAAATCAATAATTGCATCAACACAATAAATGAATCTCTATATATATATATATATATATATATAATTTTCAGTATTATGCATAGATAAGCGCACGCGTAGATAAGACAAGATGATATGATCCGATCTGATATGATATGATATGATATGATATGAGTGTTAGAATGTGTTAGATTAGATTAGGTTAGCTTAGATTGGATAGATAGACAGATAGCGTAGGTAGGTAGATAGGAAGGTAGACAAGTAGATAGATCCATAGCCTATGTATTTTCATTAAATTTTGAATGGGGTCGATCGTCAATCCACTACTCCAAAAACTTGCTGCCCGCGGCCGAGATCCAAGTGCTCACAGGACCGGCTCCTGCTGGTGCTGGCTGACCTCGAAAAGCAAGTCACATCCTCAGGAGCTGACGTGGGTCTAATAGCTGGAAGGATTTACCCCCCAAATCATCCCGAATCAAAAACCATTTTTGATGTGAACCATTTGAGAATCGGGACTTTGGCGGTAGGGTATTTCAGACAAGACAATATGGAGATGCTTGGGTCTTGGATGGATAGTTGTCCTTTTTACTTTTTCTTTTGGTTTTGTTGATGAATCAAATTGAAGGATTAACCCCCAGATCGAGCAGACCAAACCAGTGTTACTTTTTGTCCAAATTTGACAAGTCTTGGCGAGGCCAGCATGTCATGGTTTGGACCATCCCTGCTTCTGGGTTTGGTGATTCGGAATCGCAACACGATCGACTCACTCACTCCGACTGATTCCCTCGACGCTTGAGGTCCCTGATTTGCTACAGAAATTCCAGCGCGGGGTCCAAACCATGTCCATGACGTAGCAGCCTTTAAGTCGGAAGATACCGGGCAAGAGCTGATGGATTCGTCCAACACAGACATATCAAGTCACTTCCTGCACTCAACTTTTGTCCGAACACGTCCATCAAACATCAGGAAATGATGGGAGTCAGTTGTCAGGAACTAGCTATGTCTACTGAGGCGGGAGTCGGCAGATGGGGCTGAACGTGCTGAAAAACTGAAAGAGCTGGAGGCATCAGATATAAGGGAGATCGGAGTGAAAAATCAGGGAGATTCAACACAACAAACACGGGATATTCGCCAAATTTCACATTTGATGTGAATGGGGATGACCACATAGACACGGGATATTGATAAACATCAAATATTTGTCGAACGAAGAATGGAGGGGAGACACGGAAAGTCCAGAAATCTGGGTAGGTTCAGGTTGGGATTCCTATTTGCTACAGCAATCCAAAGGCCGCCCATTGGGTCTCAACACATTCGGACGGGTTGGGATTCCCAAGCTTCGCCAGCATTTGGTTTGCCATGCTTAATCGAACGCCAATCGCATCCAATTGTGGAGGCAGTTGGACATGTGGATTTGGATATCACACCCAAGGGATTTTGTGCCCCAAGGAATTCACGTCTGGTATTCTTGGATCATCTTGGATCATTGCAGGAATACTTGAGCTTTTTGGATCAGCTCAGAAGTGCACGATCAGCTTCCAAGACTCCTTGCTTGGACTACTGTCTTCGTAGATTTTGCTGATTTTTCACTCCATTTCGGTCAAGTTTGAAACAGAAAATCATGTGCGTTGAGTGTGGTTCAATTGATGTGACATGATGTGACTATCAGCCCCATCTTTCCCACTTCTCCACCATTGGACCATTGGACCATGGAGAGCCCTGTGGATCCCAGCAATTTGGCGCGTGGCCAAACAGGTCGCCGTTCCTGGGCCGCGGAGTTTGCCTTGGCCCAGCGCTGCGATCCGGGGACGGCCTTGGCCAATCCCCACACCTGGCAGCGGGTGGCCCTGGCCGTGGACGACTTCCCGGAGTTGGATCACCTTCCGCTGCCCAAAGTTCTGGAGGAGGACGCCCCGAAACGGACCTATCGGCAACGGCTGGAGGAGCCCAAGAGTACGGTACATTGGGGACAGCGGAAACTCTTTATGGCGGAACTGGAATTTTTGCTGGATTTTGCGGAGGAAGCAAAGCATTTGATTTATGCGGGGGCTGCTGAGGGTCAGCATTTGGCCGTCCTTTGTGAGCTTTTTCCAGATATTCAATTGGACGCGTGGGATCCGAGACCCTTTGCAAAATCAGCTCTACCACCGGCAGCTCCCTCCAATCTTCGTGTGCATCAAGAGTATTTCACTGATGACGTGGCACGACACCTTCGCTCGACCTTGGGAGAGGTGCCGCTGCTGTTTGTCAGCGACATTCGCACGGCCAACTGGCAGAAGGACACACCCGAAGAACACGACCAGCGGTTGTTGGGAGATCTCAAGGCACAACAGAACTGGGTAGATCTGTTGCGACCCACCAGGGCCCTGTTAAAATTTCGCTTCCCCTACACTGAAGGTTGCACCGAAGGCCTGGCGGGGGAGATGCGGCTCCCTGTGTGGGGGCCGCAAACTACCACGGAGTGCCGGTTGCTAGTGACACCTCCCAGCAAGGACGTACCCTTAAGCACCAAGATTTACGATCACCGATGCATGTGGGAGCAACTGTTCTACTTCAATACCGTCACACGGATCTCCATCTACCCAAGGCCTAGCTTTGTTGGAGCTGGAGATGAAGAAACTTTGAAGACTGCAGGACTTTGTCGCTGTTTCGACTGTAGCAGGGAGGTGGACCTCTTGGCCACCTATCTGAGGCGACGACAGGTGGCCACTGCTGAGTTGGTGAGGGCATTGGTTGAGCTGGCCCGGGATGTGTCGCTGGGCTGTGGCCGTGGGCCCAGTGGCCTCCTGGACGCACCAACAGCTCCATGGCAGGCCCAAAGTGAGGCGCCTGCGAAGCGGCCAAAAAGGGGAACGGATGACTGATGCCCGGGGGTATGTCACTTAGTATGTCCCATATGTGCCAGAGTCTTCGGCCCCAAATACTTTGGATGTTACAAATCATGTTCATTTTTATGAGCGCATCGCTTTGTAATTCTGGGACGTAATCGATTGGCTGCCGCATCAGACTCAGTAGATCTCGGTAGACCAGGAAATGGTGGATTTTTGCCTCCAACTTTGCGATGCCAGGTGAGGGTCGAGATGTTCTGCCGCCGCATGAGCACACAGGAGGAAAGGCGCGTCGGCGCCTCGTGGCTCTGCAGCTTCCAGAGGTGAAGTGAAACTTAGGGATCTTGCAGGATATTCTCCAAGTGACCATCAAACAATAGAGAATCTTGTTTTCTCAACTTGCCCAACCGACTTAAAAAAAGTTACTGTATGTGTCTTGAAGATTCAAGGCAAACCCACTTTCATCAAGATCGTTTGATGCGATTTTTCCTGACCAGATTGCAAAGCTGCGCAGAGCGGGCTGAGAAGAGCGTTGCGCTGCCACAGCTACTAGTCGGCAGCCGATGCTGAACGACATCTTTTTCCACTGGATCATGTATATGTATATATATATATATGAGTATTAGATTTTGGTAAGACACATATTATTCTTGATCCATGATATCTTTCCTGGCATCGAATTCCAGGAGCTATGTCATATGTCCATGAGTGAGTCGAAGAATCAGCTCGTTTTGGTGGCTCGATGTTTTTCCAGCAACCATCATTGAGGCTTCGCAGTCTTTGTCGGGAAGAGTTGCAGAAAAAGCTCACTGAGGCTTGAAGGGTGGAGACGGGTGATGCACCTACGGGTGGAGGTTCAAGGCACTATTAAAAAAGGCATGTCCCGAACAGATCGAAAGGGGCAGCTGTTTCACTTCAACGTGATGCAACCTGATGATACGCTCTTGAATCTATGATGTTTGAGTGTTTGAAAACTACAACTGAGCCCACTACAACATAATCTGTCCAGCAGGGACCCTCCTTCTCAGGAAGATTTGCTGGGCACAACGGCCTTGGTACGGAAGCAGCAAGATTCACTCAATGAGGCAACTCGCAGGACGGGTCTGGCAGGTTTCTGCTTCCATTTGGAAGATGAGCAGTAGCAACCCAAAATATCTTGGTGGGACTTGATACGAGATATTTCACACTGCATGCTGTGCAGGCAACTTAGAGTACATGGATTTATCATGATTTATCATGATTTCAGCTTTTGGTGTTGCTTTGCATTGAATTGGAGAAATTGAACCTTCATACAGCAACCGTTTGCCGACCAGATTTTGTTTTCTCTGCGTTCGGGGCCTCCACAATGCCCAGGTGCAGCTTCAACTGCAGAGGCTCCTGGATCGGCTGCACTTGGCCGGACTTCGGCAGGCGCCAGTCTTTCAGAGATGGCCTATCATATATAATAATATATATATATGTATTATAATTATACATATAATTTGTATAATATATATATATCTGTCATATGGGTAACATAAGCCAGATTTGAATTTGAATCTTTTGGCCTTATTGTGCTTATTCTGGCTTTTGGAAATGGTCTTGATCATGGGCTCAGAATATAAGAGGGGAAGGGATGAGCTGGGACGTTCCTGGGAGAGCTTGGACGCTCACTTGCTATTCGTAGTGTTGATGGATGTGGTTTGGGGGCGTCACTTGCTTCTCTAGTCATGGAATCATGCCCTTTTGATGGACACAATTTATAGATACCGACTTCAACTGCCACCTCGATCTTCACCCCTCGGACCTTCGAGCACAAAGAAGACTCCAAGGGCCCCAAAAAACCCAACCCCTGCACTGCTACGGAGGCGGTTCTGAGCTGATCGCGCTGCCTGGGAGTGCGCTGGCAATGGTTCTATTTGTGATGGATTTTCTTTAGGCGCCACAGTTGGATATTTGTTGCTGGAACCTTCTTCCCAGCCCCAGCACCTCTCTGAAGTCCCTGTAGTTTAGAAAACAATAGACACAGATGGAAACACTACCAAAGGCGTGGTGTTTGCCAGAAAACCTCCAGGACTTTGCGGAATCAAAGTGGTTGGAGAGTCATGAAGTTCTGCCAATGCAACTCTCGTTCCTGCCGAAAAGTCCATCCAGAAAAAACCATGTTTCCCAAGCAGTTGCCACAGATCAAGATATCAAGTGGATGGGGCTGGTGTGGCTTCCCCAAGGCAGCAAATCCCCCAATGGGATGATTGGCTGGTTGTGAGAGACGCTCCAATTTCTAACCTATCGATCTACGACACGATCTGCTTGAAGGGGGTGATAAGAGGGAACCAGGTCATCTCCAGTTTTGGCAAGCTTTAGAAGTGCCTTCCTGCTGTCATGAATAGATCTAAAACTTTCGACCAGGGCTTCGAATGGCTATTTTATACAATTTGATTATCATATTTCATTTGGTTTAGTTCGAGAGAGAAAGGATTCTTACACTTTTTCCCTTCATATTTGTTTCATTCTTGATTCCAGCCCTGCAGCTTTGAAGCTCAAAAGAACAGTGACTTCAGCCAGCGACGCGTCAGCGGTACCGAGGCGAGAACTTACCGCTGGGTCGCTGGTGGTCAAACGCGAGACACGCATCGGATTTCAGTACTATTCCTAGGTCTTTATAAGGAGTAAACAGTGGGAAATCAGCCACCAAATCATGGCTGTATGATGGACTGATCAAGTAGCATTTATTGATGTCTACTTGGAGTGGGTCGTGCGATGAGGGATGTTAAACATAAGAGTTGTTGTCAGGCATGAACAAGCCCAGAATGAGGGACACAATGAAGGAACAGAACAGTTCTAGTGAAACGAGGCAAGAGACCTGGGAAGATCAATGAACCGGAGGTTCCAACCAATAAAGTACCATAAATTCTATAGATATTGACCGACAAAAAATAGAGTTTGGTCAATAATCAATCGGGATGCAGTACACTCCAGGCCCTGGCAAATGAACATTGTAAATTCCAAAATCCCACGATCAAGAAGACACTCATTTACCAACAAGAGAATTTTCATCACCAGATAAAGTGAAGCTACCTGATTTACCTGCAACAGCACAGGGCTATAGTAAGAACAAGGACGATGCTGATGGCCCATGGGTTTGTTGGGCAAACACAGCCCTTCTTTTGGAGGTGAGCGATGTTCCTGGTGAACTGGCCAGGGATCTCATCCGCAAATGGTGTTGAGTGAAGTGAAGAACTCCTTTTTGGCGTCAAAGTGTCAAACGTTTTTTTATTTTCCAGGGACGAGTTGACTGCAGCATCTCAAAGATCCACAGACATTTTTTGAGACCCAATGGTTATGGCGACGTCTTGCCAGAGTTTCCTTGAGGTTCTTCGATGTGTTGGGCTACCTGGGCCTCAGCAACAAGAATGCGAAGATCTTGTTCTTGGGACCCTTGGGACGGGAGAAGTCACAACAGTTTTCTTCAATCAGAAATCACAGCCCGACTTGCAAAATTTGCAGTCGTCAGAAGGCCGAAGCAACATGACAACCATGACAATTGATAAGCTATTTTATGTACATATATATATACATACATACATACAAACATACATACACATACATACATACACATACATACACACACACACATACATACATACACATACATACATACACATACATACATACATACATACACATACATACATACATACACATACATACATACACATACATACATACACATACATACATACATACATACACACACATACATACATACATACATACACATACATACATACATACATACATACACATACATACACATACATACATACATACATACACATACATACATACATACATACACATACATACATACACATACATACA